GCGGGGAAGTGCACTGGACTTTGGTGATGGCACATGGGTGATTTGGTGGTGGGAAGCTCACGGGGATTACAAATGAGATGGGAAAAGGCACAGAATGATGTAAAAGTAAACTATTATTTAAAAAAAAAATTGGGTCCTGCTAGTAGTTTTTCTTATTTACTAATTTCTGGTTTTGGCCTCAAAATTGTGAGGAACTTCTCTCGCTGCCTCTTCCATCTCTATCTCTATCTGGGAGTTGCTCTGTACATGTGCTGAGTGTTGCAATGCTGTGCTGCTCAGCCCCGGGGTATAATGGGTAGGATGCTATACTCTGTAAGATTTTCTGTAAAGTTTGGAAGAGCTTCTTCTTTCTTCAAAAGTATTTTAAAAGCTAATACTTTGAATGGACATGTCTCCTTTTTACTTTCATAAAAATATATTGGAAGGAATCTGGGAGAAATCATGATTGGACTGGTAAAGTTGGAAGATACTGTGAATGACCCACCACAGTGGTTGACAACTTGCTGCATAGCACACAGAAAAACAAAAACAAAAACAAAAACAAATCACATGGAGGAAAAATAAAGACAGGACCCCCATGAATTATACTGAACTGGTTTATCACCCACGAATATAACACTGATCTTATTTTCAGTTCATAGCCAATTTGACCGAACAAGAAAACTGGTCAGCCTAATTTGGAAACAGATTTCCTAACAGGGAAACAGAGAAAGTTTTGTCCTCAAAACATAGATCTTAGTTTAGCTTATTGTAAAATAAAATAAGCAAACGAATGAATGAAAATCATCTATTATTATTCTTATTGTTATTTTCTTATTCTTCTCAAGGCCTAACCGTTTACAATTATGCTTTGTTTCTTTCTCACCTGTCATTTGCCACTCCTAAGCATTGATTGCCAGAGCTCTGTGGATCTTTTTTACTTCACATATGCTGAATTAATTGTTTTTTTAAATTAATTTATTGGCAGGATGTTTTTTTCACATTTTAATAAGAGCTTTGACTCTGAAAGAAGTATTTGTTCTATCTGTACTTTAACCCCAAAGGAAACCAGAAAATAAAGTAAACTGGAACAGAAATTAATTTTCAATTTGCAGGGATATTAACAGATCCAGTATGGTTAGAAACAATTTCCTAAAGTAAAAAAAAAACCACATTACCATTCAAGCCTTGCCATTAATGTGGTTTGTCCTAATACCAAATTAAATCCATTAAAAAATTCTGTTCTTTTACACAAATATTTTTCCTAAGTTTAAGAAAAAGAAAAAACTCCATCCAAGGTAATAAATACAAAATAGTATTCACTATTTGTGAGGCACTGTGGTAGGCCCTGAAAAAGATAGTAAAATGAGTACATCTCTGCCCTTAGTGCTGGGTGTGCATCTGCGCTGTCTAAAAAAGAGTCATTGCACAGAAGAAAGTGTGGGGTCTATGAGGGAATAACATATTCCCACACTCTTGTTCCTTCATTACCATACGTGAGTCACTCGACAACCCAAAGTCACAAAATTCTGCACTCATGGAATTTGTATACTAGGATGTGTGTATGTGTGTGCGTGCGTGTGTATGGAAGGGGGCAGCAATAAGCAAATAAGTAAAATACACAAATATTGCAGAGAAAAATAAATCAGAGGGGGCCTTAAAAGTTTTCGGCATGATAACGCTGCAATTTCTAATGTGCAAATTCAAATATCATCAGCAATGGTGCTGACACTACATCTGAAGTCAGCTGAGTTAAATAAAGACGTTTAGCCCAGAAGACCTATGTAGCAGGGCATTCTAATCAAAGGGACTAACAAATGCTAAGGTCCTCAGTTGGGAATTTGCCTAACCTGTTCAAAGAACCATGAGGCCAGTAACTGGTTAACTAGAGAGAGAGCAGGAGCACAGTATAGAGTTAAGAGGCCAAGAAACTGGTGTTGAGAGCCACTAGAGGATTTTGTTGAGTGTTCGACATAATCTGATTTATAAAAAAATATGGTAATAGTTGGAAGCAGGAACATAAGTTACTACGATATTCTGTAGAGAGAGCTGATAGTGGTAGACAGGGTGGCGAGAAATGGTCAAATTCTTCATGTATTTTGATGGTGGAACCAACAGGATTTGCATAAAGAAGTAATGGGACAGAACAGCAGGGCCAAGTTGGTGCCCACTTTGGAAAGTGACTAACTCTCCTTTGCATAAAGGTAGCTACTTTGTAAACAGACTTTTTTCACCTCAGATTATTTAATCAGACTCTGTAAAATTGTGGCCCTGGAACAATGTATTTAAGGTGAGTCCTTAGCGAAACATGGCTGTCAGGGGCCAAGTGAGTTACATTTATATAAATGTGCAAATTAGACCTGCACTGTGCAAAGTATATGGGATGGTGGGCTCGTGGACGAAAACGTTAATTAACCACTCTGATTCCAGTGAGAATGCAGGAATACTCTGATAAGGCTTAAGTGGGCTGAATTCATCATGAGAGGTCCCTAAACGAGCCCAATTTTGACTAAGGCAAGGAACGAAGATGAATTCAAAAGCTGAAGGGAGGGGGCTGAGGAGTGACAACTGCCCCACGTAAGACCTTGGGGCTCAAAGCTTGGACCCGGTAACTCAATCTTCTGCGTAGCAGCCACCCAGAGACTTCACCAAAGCCACGCCTCTACTTGGCAAGGCCCGGCGGGTTTCCGCCCGCAGGGGCGTCTGGGTTTCCGGAAGGTCTAGTTCTAGAGCGGACTTAACAGGATGAAGGTCGTGCGTCCGCTTCCGCCCTCCTTCCGGTTCACCAAAGTCAGGTATTTCAGTGGGGCGGGGACAAGCTGTGCCTTTGCGCAGGCGCGGTACGCTCTCCACGCGCGACGCTATGCCGAGCCGGCACGTCTTGCGTGTCCGGACCTTATATCGGCGCATCTTGGCGCTGCACCGCGTTCTGCCCCCGGACCTCAAGGCCCTTGGCGACCAGTACGTGAAGGATGAATTTAGGCGACATAAGACTGTTGGTTCCGACGAGGCCCAGCGTTTCTTGCAGGAATGGGAGGCAAGTTTCTGCCCCACCCCTTCTTGTCCCAGTCCTTTGGGGGTCGCTCGAAGGTGTCCCGTTTTGTCCCTGTTTCAGACCTCCTCCCTCTTGGTTTCCCCCGACCCCATGAAGAGTTAAACAGCGGCCAACCGTTCCGTTTGAATGAAATAGCGCGGAACTGTGGAAACCGTTCTTCCCAAAGTTAAATCCCAAGTCCCTCTTTTTCTCTCCTGTGTTCTTTCGTTGGAGCAAGTTGCATTACGTTGGCGTCTCCCAGTCAGGTCATCTTTTTGGAACTCCTGCCCGCGTCAGCTGCAGGTGGGTTGAGGATGGGAGGTTACAAAATTGAGCAAATCACGATCAGGTGCTGGGAGAGTCAGCTTTACCATCACTACTTGATAGTTCTGCCCACTATCGCGGTCACATGACAAGCACCTATAATTAGTGGTTTTGTCATTGTTTAGTTTTCAAACTTAAAGGCTTGTTTCTGAGAAATTTCAGTGCTCTTTGTTGAGTCTTAGTAGTGTTCTCAGTTATCAAAGCCGATAACACGCGAGGTGGTTGTGGCGGGGACTACAACGGTTGGAGGAGAAATGGGCTGGTCAGAGTTAAGTCTAGTGAAAGTTGGTTTCTCTGGAGTCTTTAGTCACATTACTTTCTTCGAGTGCCCTGCATCGTTGCAGTAAATCTTAAACACACATATGTATTACCGATTAACCCTTTGATCTTTCTTCACGTTTATTTAAGAGGAGGACTAGGATCTTCAGAGTGTGTGTGTGTGT